TTGAAAATATATCATATGGGATTTACCAAATGAACTAAAGTAAATTGCATAGTCTTACACCAAAACTACAGAACTTGTCTTGGCCCTTTTAAGGCTATATGAATGACACCAATGGCTCTGTGATTTGCTGAGTAGAATATACATATACGTAATGCGGAACGTGATTGCAGTACATGAACACCCCAAATTAACGTTGTTACTTTCAGAGAAACATTTTCGCAGAAATATTTGAGAAAAGAATTCAATTAAATAATTGAAGTCAAATTCCAAATATTAGTAGTACGTCGTAATAGAAATATTTACTTTTCACACACAATCGTAGAAAGTCTCGACTGGTGTTCAGAGGGTATGGTTCGGTAAAGTTACAATTGGAAAATTAGAAGAGCGGCGCGTATGTGGTATATTTACATGTTCATTGTTTAACATTAACATTTGAGGTGGATGTAGTGCAATCTCTGTTTATTCGTTCTAATCTGAGATTCTAACATTATACTACTAATAGAAAAATATTAAGGTTTTAACATGTAATGGCAAATAATCATATATATCATAGTATAACTTTGTCTGTATAAAAATAAAACCATGATCTATTTGTACAAAACAATATTTTCCATAGAACTAGTTGTAGCTGTGCCTATCTTAATGCTCTTAATCATATATATAATGGAGAAGTCAATTCAAATCAATTTTACCAAGCCATCTTCTATAAATTGATGTTGATCAGTTATTTTGTTTGTTTCATTAGTTAGTGTCCATTTATTAGAAATAGTCCATATTTATATCATCTAATGTATTGTTGTTTTCATTCTCGGGAACAGTGGACTTAGGCATCGTGACGTCATCATAGGTGCGATACGATCGCATATCCCGTTCGGAATTCTGAAATATAAGAGATGGTGAGTTGAATTACGAATTGAAAAACAAAATTGGATCAGGGTATGTATAAAAGTGTATCATGTATTTGATATGAAAACGTGATATATAACAAGCCAACTGTGCCAGTCTTCTACTATTTTATGTTATAATGTCCTAATGGCAGTTTTAGAGATGGATGTTGTCACGTGACTTCAATGACTTACATTTGGTCGAGTGTGCCAGTTACCAGAAGCCCCAGAATCAGAAAAAGTTGATGAAAAATCTTCAAAACGACTAGTTCCGTCCCATGGTTTATCAGTTCTTGCCATGCGTCCCTGTAAAAATCAAACAAGGTCTGATTTAAAGATCGGAAAATACTAAATGATTGATACATGAATTGGGGCACATAATGAAACACAAAATACATGTATGAAGCAGATATATAAATGAAAAAATATCATATCAAAGTGTTATGGAGTTTAATGTTCACAGATTTTAATGAATGAATGAAACTAGAAACGTTGCGGGCATAACCACCAGTCGTGTTAATTGTCTGGTCATAAACATAATTTCGAAAATGTGTGAACACAATGGGAACTGATTATTGCTTACTAGTGGCTATTTGTAAAGATCTGAGTACTATGAAGTTGTACTGCATTATTTGTTGTAAACATCTGGTTGTAAAACATATCAGTCTGTTATTGCTATTAACGCGAACACATCATTACGGGTCTTAACTAGAATCGTAATTAATAAACTCAAAGCTTACCGTCCACATCTTTCTGATTTGTGGTTCAATTGATGTATCTCTGTGTAGACTAGGAGCAGGGATGTATGTGCTTGACATCGATAACTGGAAAAAATATTGTTTTGTTTGGATAGGTGATATGTTTGCTGAATTGAAGATTAATGATCGTGATAATAAAATTTTGAATGGACTACATTTTCTACATGAAAAGCTAGACGTGTATCAAAATCGGGTTGCGGTTATTCATTTGGGCCGAATCCATCAATTTTCATCGCACATCCTCTCGACATTCATGGCCATAAATGGTCAATAAACACATTCTGATTCTTGAAAAATCATACCTCGAATGACTTTTTTATTTCATGGTTGAACAAGATGATGAATAACAGACAGTATCAATGATGGATTTACAAGCAGGTTCTATACTTATCTAGGGAAATGACACAGTGGTGCCAAAAGTAATGCTTACCATACTTTGGGGACTGCGACTGTCCCCTGTTACAGAACCAGATAGCTTAGAGTTGATACCAGACCAAATCGCACTTGGCGCCCTGTCATTGTCCGTTGCATTGTTTATATCCCTGTTTATCCGAGGCAGTTGTCGCATGGGTGATATACTGCTGAACGAGTCGTTAGGAAGCCCCGTCAATGTTGTTAAAGGCTTGACAGGCGCATGTTGAAGTCCGTATGTTGACCTCGAGTGTAGGGTTATGTTAGATCGAATGGTGCCAACTGATGAGTATTTATCAGAACCATACGCAAGCTGTGAGAACGTCGCCGTTGATCCAGCTGCAGATTGCTTCTTGTAGCCGTCCCGATGTCTTAATACAAGTGCAATTGCAATAACAACAATAGAAGCTATCAAAACGACGGCAAGACTTCCAGCAACAATCGCTACTACAACCTCAGATGTAACTTTTATGGGCTCGACTGTTTCACAGTTTCTACCAGAGTATCCCCTCGGACAACTACACAGGTGTATCCCTCCAAGTTTTTCCAGACAAGTGCCACCATTTTCACAACGGGTTCTATCGCATTTTTCTGAAGGAAAACAACAAATTTAAAATTTCGAACATAAACTAATATCAGAAATTATTATTTGAATTTCTATGATGCGTTGTTTAAGGCCAGAGTGCACTTTGGATTTTTTGCAATTTTGAAAAGTAAACCACTGAATATTCTAGTTATTAAAACATTCTGAAGAATTATCAACCCTCAATTAATAGTCTAGGTACACTAATGCATCTTTTGTGGGGAAGAATGAAAGATGTAGATGATGTGTGGAATGAGTTATGTTTATCTGAAAATAGCACATGGTCATGAATTTCATCAAAGTGCACCCTGACCTTAAACTCTGAGAATCTGAAATTGGATTGTAAGAAAAGCTTAATTAATCATTGAACATAAAGCCAAATTGAATAAATGTTATACCTGTACAAAGGCGACCAGGTCTATCTGTATTGGGAATATCTCTGAAGTCATCATTGCATGTACACGTGAAGCTACCATGTGTATTGGTACAGTAGGCATAACGGGAGCAGTCGTTGGTATCGTTTAATACGCATTCGTCAAAATCTATCAAAATAAACAAGACTTTCAAGTAAAAAATTTGTTCTACCTAATATAAACGAAGCACAAACATAATTCCAGAAAGTTCAGGATTCAATGGATTATAATATACACAAAATACGTCACTGTGTTAAAAGTATTTCATGTAAACATACCACTTATATAGAGAGATCCAATATCGAACTCCACATCTGTCACCGTTGTGTTAAGTGTACGTTCGATCTCCTCTAACACTGTAGTGGCATTCAATACAAGTTCTACCTGCTCCTCGAAGTCAATAGTGTATTCAGCTACAATACTGCCATTGTAAAACGAGTTTACCTTGCAACCAACGAAGATATAGGAATATTCAGACTTGTTATAAGCGGCTTCCACCTAAGAGTACAGAAAATAAAAAATTATTAATTTTTGGATACAGATCGAACTAAGGATGTCAATATCGTATAATTTTCATTGTTCTTCTATTGACGAAAAAACTTTTCGATTGATTAAATAATTATAATCAAAAAGTGTATTCTTTAAATTCATTTGTATTAAGAAACGCATTTAAATGAACGATAATGAACGATATTTGACCGAAACTTCTTAACCATTCCTAAACATCGTTTTAAAGTGATTGGGAAGTTACTGGTAAACGGGACAATACCTCTATGCACACGGCTTCTGCTAACTTTTTAAACTCATCTGAATCAGGGTTGTTTAGTTCTTCAGTAAACACAGCGTCTTTTCCTTCGTATTTCAAAATAATAACTTCTCCCTCATAAGTGTTCAGAGCTGAAAATAGAGTACACAATTCATCATGAATCAGCATGTTGTCTAATAGCGCAAGGGGTAAAGCTACATACGTCATAAGCGTGAATTTATACTGTTCACATACATGTCGAGACCTTGAAATACATCAAAAACGTCTATAACAAGACTTACCATATTCACACATTGATCCTCCAAAGCCCACTAAACATTCACATCTATATGTGTCTTCTAATGAGACACACCTTCCTCCATTTATGCAGGGCATCGAAGCACAAATGGAAGGTTTAGGAGTGGAACTAGGCGAAGTTGCTCTTGGTGTTGATATACTTGTTGCCAAAGATTTGGGAGTTGTTGCTGGAAGAGTCACTCGAGTAACAGGATCAGTAGTTTTAATTGATGTTGATTTAAAAGTAGTTCCGAGTTTTGTATTTTCAGAAACGGTACCAGCCACTGTCGACATTATAGTAGCTGTACCTGTCACTGTTGGTGACGTAGTAGACCCAGCAGATGTGCCACCCAAAGTTGATGTTGTAGAAGCCTTTGTGGATGTACCAGTCACTGTTGATGTTGTAGTAGGTTTAGTAGATGTACCGAATAATGTGGGTGATGCAGAAGACTTAGCAGTTGCACCACTCACTGTTGGTGAAGTAGTAGCCTCAGTAAATGTACCACTCGATAATGTAGTAAATTTAGTGGATGTACCAGTTGCTGTTGATGCTGTATAAGACTTGATAGATGTACCTCTCACTGTTGATGATGTAGTGGACTCAGCCGATGTACCAGTCACTATCGGTGATGTAGTAGACTCGGGAGATGTAGTAGACTCTGGAGATGTACCAGTCGGTGATATAGTAGACTCGGGAAATATACCAGTCACTGCCGGTGATGAAGTAGACTCAGTAGATGTACCAGTCACTGTTGGTGATGTAGTAGACTCGGGAGATGAACCAGTCACTTTCGGTGATGTAGTAGATGCAGTAGATGTATCATTCTCTGTCGGTGATGTAGTAGACTCAGGAAATGTACCAGTCATTGTTGGTGATGCTGTAGACTTGTGAGATGTACCAGTCACTGTCGGTGATGTAGAAGACTCGCTAGATGTACCAGTCACTGTTGGTGATGTAGTAGACTCAGGAGATGTACCAGTCACTGTCGGTGATGTAGTAGACCCGGGAGATGAACCAGTCACTGTCGGTGATGTAGTAGACTCGGGAGATGTACCATTCACTGTTGATAATGTAGTGGACTCAGTAGTTGTACTAACCAGTGATGGTGATGCAATGTACTTTGTTGTTGTACCAGGCGTGTTTGTTGTTGTTATAGACTTAGTAGTTGAACCAGCTTCTGTTTGTGTTGGTGTTGATGGATTTATAGATGTTCCAGCCATTGTTGATGATGTAGTATACTCTGACTCGGTATTAGCACCTGCCACTGTCGATGTTGCAGTAGTTCTTGTTGGTGTTATAGATGTGTTATTAGTTATATAAGCTACTGTTGGTGTTGTTGTAGACTCAGTTACACTCGACGTTTTAGGATCTATAGTGGTGAATATATCTGAAAAATAATTTATGTTTGAAATAGCAGAGTACACTATGTCAGTCCAAGCTAGCAAGAAAAGGGACGATTTTTGCTATGAGTCCATCTCCTCAATTGTTAATTACTAATATATATGAAAACGTTATCAAAACTTTTAAAAAAGTTGACAAGTGTTGTTAAAAGGTTTCCATTACTTGTTACTAATAGTAGAATGGTTTGATATGTCATAGAAATTGAAACTGGTCATGTCTCGTTTTAGAAGGGACGCGGCTGGATTAAATAACTTACCGTGGAATCTGAAGTACGGTGAACAAAAATGATACTTTTTGGCTTAAAATGAACATTTATAGTGACATTTACCTGATATTAATGCGGAATGCCCCTCAAACACAACTGTTGTGGTCGTTGTAGCAATGCTAGATCTAAGTTCACGCTGGACCAAGCTCGAGTGAATGATAACATCGGTGCTGTGTTGAAAGGTTAAAATAAAGCTCGCAATAATGCTTCCTGATGAAAATCCAATAATTTCACAAGAAATATACATTGATGCCAACGATGAAGCCAAAAATGCTGTATCAATCTGAAAAGATAGAAAATAAAATGTAGAATCGCTGTTGTAGTTATTAATATTTCCACGTTAATATAAAACTAAAGGGCTTGGATTTGTACGTTAAACAGTATAATTATAATGTATAACCTAAAGAAAAGGACGATTCAGAATCGGAAACATTGTCTTCTTCAAGCGAAAGTAGCCTCAATAATTTAGAGTAACTTATCAAACTGTAAAATGTGCTGCAAAGTGCAATGTCAAATGTTGTCCTGTGAAAATAATTAGGATATTTATTATAGTCTATCGTCTCTTTCCAATGTTAATTAAATATTTCAAGTATCGTACTTTTATATGTGCACTTTTGTTTCTGTATTTACATCATCATCATATAAACTGTGTAATATAACTAATTAAAATATAGTACCATGTATTTAAAGTAATAATAACATTTACCTCAAGGCAAGTTTCAGCTTGTAAACCTTGGTAAAATGGCGTTGATACATTACTAAGGCTGGAATTGAACATGGCAGTATAGCCATTATAATGAGTAATACGGATTACTCCTATCAATCGGGATACTTCGGTTGTAGTATGAGTGGTAGTGGTATCCATAACTGTTAAACCAGGGCTTGCTGAATCACCAATTGTTGTTGTTTCAGTGGTTGTTCTATCAGCAACTGCAGTTGAAATTGGGGTAATAGTATCAACAACTGTTGTTGCATAAAGGATTGTCGTAGTTGCGTCAGACATTTTAGCTGTGTCATCCATTGAAGTTGTAGCACCAGCTGCTGTAGTATCTGCCGTAGACGTGACATCTTCTGTAGTTGTGTCAGCAACTATTGTTGTAACTTCAGCCGTTGTTGCATAAGCAGCTGTTGTACCATTAGTTGTAGTTGTATCAGCAACTGTAGCTTTAGTATCAGCTCCTGTAGTATCTGCCGTAGACGTGACATCTTCTGTAGTTGTGTCAGCAACTATTGTTGTAACTTCAGCCGTTGTTGCATAAGCAGCTGTTGTACCATTAGTTGTAGTTGTATCAGCAATTGTAGCTTTAGTATCAGCTCCTGTAGTATCTGCCGTAGTTGTTGCAGCCACTGTAGTTGTGTCAGCTAATGTTGTTGTAACTTCAGCCGTGGTTCCTTCAGTAACTGTTGTTGTAGCATCAATTGTAGATCTGTCAGCCACTGAAGTTGTAGCATCAGCTGCTGTATATGCCGTAGTTGCGTTAGCCACTGTAGTCGTGTCAGCTACTGTTGCTGTAACATCAGCCGTTGTTGCATTAGCAACTGTTGCTGTATCAGCAACTGTTGCTGAAACATCAGTACTATCTTTCAATGTCGTAACATCAGATGTTGTTACATCAGCAACTGTTGTTGTCGCATAAGCTGTAAATGCGTCAGGAACTGTAGTTGTGTCAGCAATTGTTGTTGTAACATTAGCTGTTGCTGCATCAGCAACTGAAGTTGTAGCATCAGCTGTAGTTGTGTCAGCCACTGTAGTTGTGTCACCAACTGATGTTGTAACATCAGCTGTTGCTGCATCAGCAACTGTTGTTGTAGCATCAGCTGTAGTTGTGACAGCCACTGTAGTTGCATCATTAGCTGCTGTAGAATCTGCCGTTGTTATGTCATGCAATGTAGTTGTCTCAGCAGCTGTCGTTTTAACAACAGCTGTTGTTGCATCAGCAACTGTTGTTGCAGTTGTTGCATAAGCTGTAGTTGTGTAAGCAACTATAGTTGTGGCATCAGCTGCTGTAATATCTGTCGTAGTTGCGTCAGCCACTGTAGTTGTGTCAGCAACTGTTGTTGTAGCATCAGCCGTTGTTGCATCAGCAATGGTTGTTGTTGTAGCATCAGCCGTAGTTGTTGTAACTTCAGCCGTTATTGCATCAGCAACTGTTGTTGTAGCATCAGCTGTAGTTGTGTCAGCCACTGTACTTGTAGCATCAGCTGCTGTAGTATCTGCCGTGGTTTTGTCAGCCACTGTAGTTGTGTCAGCAACTGTTGTTGTAACATCAGCCGTTGGGGCATCAGCAACTGTTGTTGTAGCATCAGCTGTAGTTGTGTCATCCACTGTAGTTGTAGCAACAACTGCTGTAGTATCTGCCGTAGTTGCGTCAGCCACTGTAGTTGTGTCAGCAACTGTTGTTGTAACATCAGCCGTTGTTGCATCAGCAACTGTTGTTGCAGCATCAGCTGTAGTTGTGTCAGCCACTTTACTTGTAGCATCAGCTGCTGTAGTATCTGCCGTAGTTGCGTCAGCCACTGTAGTTGTGTCAGCTACTGTTGTTGTTACACCAGCCGTTGTTGCATCAGCAACTGTTGTTGTAGCATCAGCTGTAGTTGTGTCAGCCACTGTACTTGTAGCATCAGTTGCTGTAGTATCTTCCGTAGTTGCGCCAGCCACTGTAGTTGTGTCAGCTGCTGTTGAAGTAACATCAGCCGTTCTTGCATCAGCAACTGTTGTTGTAGCATCAGCTGTAGTTGTGTCAGCCACTGTAGTTGTAGCATCAACTGCTGTAGTATCTGCAGTAGTTGCGTCAGCCACTATAGTTGCATCAGCAACTGTTGTGTCATATACTGTAGTTGTAGCATCAACTGCTGTAGTATCTGCCGTAGTTGCGCCAGCCACTGTAGTTGTGTCAGCAACTGTTGTTGTAACATCAGCCGTTGTTGCATCAGCAACTGTTGTTGTAACATCAGCTGCTGTAGTATCTGCCGTAGTTGCGTCAGCCACTGTAGTTGTGTCAGCTGCTGTTGAAGTAACATCAGCCGTTCTTGCATCAGCCACTGTTGTTGTAGCATCAGCTGTAGTTGTGTCAGCCACTGTAGTTGTAGCATCAGCTGCTCTAGTATCTGCCGTAGTTGCATCAGTCACTGTAGTTGTGTCAGCTACTGTTGTTGTAACATCAGCCGTTGTTGCATCAGCAACTGTTGTTGTAGTATCAGCTGTAATTGTGTCAGCCACTGTACTTGTAGCTTCAACTGCTGTAGTATCTGCCGTAGTTGCGTAAGCCACTATTGTTGTAGCATCAGCTGCTGTAGTATCTGCCGTAGTTGCTTCAGCCACTGTAGTTTTGTCAGCTACTGCTGTTGTAACATCAGCAGTTGTTGCATCAGCAACTGTTGTTGTAGCGTCAGCTGCAGTTGTGTCAGCCACTGTACTTGTAGCATCAGCTGCTGTAGTATCTGCCGTAGTTGCGTCAGCCACTGTAGTTGTGTCAGCAACTGTTGTTGTTACATCAGCCGTTGTTGCATCAGCAACTGTTGTTGTAGCATCAGCTGTAGTTGTGTCAGCCACTGTAATTTTAGCAACAGCTGCTGTAATATCTGCCGTAGTTGCGTCAGCCACTGTAGTAGTGTCAGCAACTGCTGTTGTAACATCAGCCGTTGCTGCATCAGCAACTGTTGTTGTAGCATCAGCTGTAGTTGTTTCAGCCACTGTAGTTGTAGCATCAGTTGCTGTAGTATCTTCCGTAGTTGTGTCAGCCACTGTAGTTGTGTCAGCTGCTGTTGAAGTAACATCAGCCGTTCTTGCTTCAGCAACTGTTGTTGTAGCATCAGCTGTAGTTGTGTCAGCCACTGTAGTTGTAGCATCAACTGCTGTATTATCTGCCGTAGTTGAGTCAGCCACTATAGTTGCATCAGCAACTGTTGTTGTAGCATCAGCTGTAGTTGTGTCATCCACTGTATTTGTAGCATCAACTGCTGTAGTATCTGCCGTAGTTGCGTCAGCCACTGTAGTTGTGTCAGCAACTGTTGTTGTAACATCAGCCGTTGTTGCATCAGCAACTGTTGTTGTAACATCAGCTGTAGTTGTGTCAGCCACTGTACTTGTAGCATCAGTTGCTGTAGTATCTTCCGTAGTTGCGTCAGCCACTGTAGTTGTGTCAGCTGCTGTTGAAGTAACATCAGCCGTTCTTGCATCAGCAACTGTTGTTGTAGCATCAGCTGTAGTTGTGTCAGCCACTGTAGTTGTAGCATCAACTGCTGTAGTATCTGCAGTAGTTGCGTCAGCCACTATAGTTGCATCAGCAACTGTTGTGTCATCCACTGTAGTTGTAGCATCAACTGCTGTAGTATCTGCCGTAGTTGCGTCAGCCACTGTAGTTGTGTCAGCAACTGTTGTTGTAACATCAGCCGTTGTTGCATCAGCAACTGTTGTTGTAACATCAGCTGCTGTAGTATCTGCCGTAGTTGCTTCAGCCACTGTAGTTGTGTCAGCAACTGTTGTTGTAACATCAGCTGTTGTTGCATCAGCAATTGTTGTTGTAGTATCAGCTGTAGTTGTGTCATCCACTGTAGT